CGAACACGAACTAAGATGTGTTCGTTCGTGTTCGGCTCGTTTTGGCTCGAAATACTAATCAAGCTTATAAAGTAATATTTTAAAAAAATATAATTGGCTACAAGGCTACGAAGATTTATAATCAATTAAAATATTGATTAAGAAAATAGAATAAAAAATATTAAATTAGATTCAAATGATGTTTTAATATAAATAATAATTTTTAAATCTTGCTCAAACCCTTATTGTCTTATGTCTTATGGCTACATGATTAGGGTTGTTAAAAGGACTATTTGTTCGTGAACACGTGAACAGTTCATGTTCCGCTCGTTAAGAAAACGAGCCGAACACGAACACACTTTTTGAGCTCGAAATATAAACGAGCCGAACACGAGTTACACCCCTACATATATTGTCGGCGGCGGCCCATAAGATTTATGTTTGCATGCTGTTAAAAGTAGGAGTGACTCACCAGTTCTATTTTGTTTTTTTACATTCTGTGGTCAAAGTGGAGAGCCGGCGACCAAAATACTGCGAGGGAGAAAAGAAAGGAATGATAAAAGAGTCCGAATAAATAAATAAATAATATGGAACAAAAGGAAAAAAAATTAACTTTTCAAGAATTAAAAATGCGACATCCATTCAGAGATAATGTTTACTAAGATGTATCAGAAGGTGAAGCCTTATGCTGCCATGGTGCTTCAGCAGTTGAGCTTTGCGGGTATGTCGATTGTATTTTTGGCGGTTCTTAAGAATGGGATGAGCCAGACTGTGCTGTTTGCATACCGTAATATCGTTGCTGCCATTTTTATTGCTCCGTTCGCGCTCTATTTTGAGAGGTACTATTCTTGCTCGCTTCTATGTGGTGCAAATTTTTTGGATATATTTATGAAACAAGAACAGTTGCATCTTGAAATTGATAAATGTTGTCTTTATTGCCTAAATAATTTCATCTGTAGCAGGGGAAGGAGGCCTAGGATGACACGGCACATTTTCATGAAGATAACAGCACTTGGGTTGTTACAGTAAATGTCTTTCCGCCTAACTGCTCCACACAATTCCTAAGTATTTACACATCTAACAACTAAACTTTACCAGTGCTTTAAAACGTGTGTTTCATTGAGTTAGTCAAAGTGGTATTTTTGATTAGATATGTTTCATCGAGTGTCAAAAATGGAAAAATCAAAGTTTACATGTTAGATATGTACATACATGGTAATTATGTGGCATTTATGTAAATGCCCATAACTTCTTCGTTCCATTAATCTATATCAGGAGTCATAGTTAAATGATAATCATGATTTATTTTATCAAACTAGGGGTGTGCTTGATCAGAACTTATTATTCATGGGAGCCAAGTTGACATCCGCAGGTTATGCTTCTGCTCTCAAAAATCTAATCCCACCAATTACTTTCGTTTTATCACTGGCGCTCAGGTAAGGCCCAAATTTTTACAGATTTAATGCTTATATTATTTATCAGCATAATCCTTTCTCCAGACTAAAGACCTTTTGGATTAGAGGGTTTGGATTAATGAGAGGTCAAGTTGAACTTAAGATAGCACTGACCAGATTCAGTTATCTGCACAAACGCTTACAAGACTTCATCAATACATATCTTTACACTGATACGTCAAGCCTTGACCGATTACACGAGATTTTGAAGAATATCTTTTAATCCTTTTTGTGGGTTATAAAATTATGGAGTTCAAATTTTCAACTATTTAAATTAACAAAGTTATGACCGGGATCACTTATTTGTTGCAAATATTTGTGGGTTATCAAACGCATGCCTTGTAATAAATATAAATAGTGTTAAAAAGGAGAGGTTTGCATGCCATCGAAGCTATAAATTAATCGAGAATCCGAAAAGAGGAGGCCAGGTTCATTTCAACATACGGATAACAAGGGGTTTGAGAAGTTTCCATTCATTCAACAAACATAGGAGCCTGAAGGAAAAACGTGTGAGGAAATACTGGATTCTAATTACCAATCTGCAACCATTAAGGTTACGCGCGCGCGCGCACATATCCCATTATGGTTGCGCGCGCGCGCGCACATATATATATATATATATATATATATATATATATAGAGGGTACTATCTTATAATCTTATCAAATATATCTAGCCCAAACATGAAAATGAAATAATTCAGAAATAAACATAAAAAGGAAGATAATAAAAACTAATCAAGGAATTTTCCAAGTTCTCTTCAATTAATCCATCAATCACTCATGAGACGGTCGGTCTAGGCCCACCATGAAGAGAAGGTCGATCCTCTAAGATTTCCACACTCTACCTCAAGCTGGGTTATAGATATTGTAGAGCTCAAGTTTGGTATTAAAAAACTCAGAGAGGTTGCTTAAAGGAAGAGCTTAGGTGAATACATCAACAACTTGTTGATGTCAAGATATAGCTTAGCTGTATAATGCCACCATTAACTTTTTCAGAAGAAGCTTGTTATGTTAGCACCTAGCCTTAGGACAAATTTGTCATTTGTATGTCTAAGGGCAATTTAATCATTTATTATTGTTGTTGTTGAGTATAAATAGACTTTTTATGTCTAGGATTAGGAAGATGCATGAGATTGGATTGTGAGTCTTAGGTTTAGGGTTGGGAAGAGATTTTCAACCTCTCAAATTGTAGCAATTGGGAAAGATCATTTGCCTCTCGAATTGTAGGTGCTTATCTTTGGTATTCTTGTTGAGTTGATTGGAATACTAAAGAAAATTTGTGTTTGTCCGAATTTCTGTAAAAAAACGTGCCGATTTTGACGTTGGATCAAATCAAAATTGTATCAGAGAAAAATTTTTGGAAACAGTGCCCCGGATCGTCATACAATCTCGATCAAAGCTTGCGGGGAAGGCAAAGACGACATCGCAATAGAGCAGAACAGCTATGATTTTATCGGCCAATAATCCCTACGTGAGGAAGGATCGTGGCATACAAACGATTTCTTGACTTCACCTCGCAAATTAGTCACGATTGGAGCTAATTGGGAAGAATCACTGATTATCTAGACCCAAAAGTCGTGTACAGTTGCGTGCAAGGGGATGAGAAGGGTTGTTGCATAGACGCGAAGGGTTGGGGACACTGCGGTAGGGATCGACGTACAAAGACTGAAATCTCACATTTCTCTTTTCCTTTCGCGCAAACTTCACTTCCTCTCACGTCCTCTACCTGATACAGTCGCGATCAGAGCTATCTAGAATAGCAATGACTGGGGATCGGCATACAGAAACCCAATTCTCCACTTTTTCTCATCCTTTCGCGCCAACTTCTCTTCCTCTTGCATCGTCTATCCAATATAGTTGCGATTAGAGCTAAATGGGAAGGCCGTGATTGGAAAGCAGCGTACAGAAACCCAAAACTCCTATTTTCCTCTTCCTCCCAAGCTTTCTACCCGATAGAGTCACGATCAGAGCTACTTGGGAAAGCAGCGACTGAGAAGTGACTTACAGAGACACGAAACTCCCAACTTTCTCATGTTCCTTTTTCATAACTCTCACTTTTCTCTTGTTCCAGCTTTTCCCTCACACATCAGTCACGATTCTAAGCTAGTTGGGAAGACTAGACCAAAGCTATTAGACAGTCGTGATTTGAGCTACTTGGGAAGCCACGATCAGAATGATCCTGGATTATTGACTTACGGAACATTCGCTCGATTGGTCTCATCCTGAAGCAGACGACGAAATTCTGCATATAAAAATTGCCTTTTGTGAGAAAAAAAATTCTGAGAAGAACGACAGCTAAGAAAGTAAATGATTTGGAGAAGAAATTAGAGGAAGAGAGAAGTCAAATCAGATCTGAGATGGAAGAAACGCTCACCATTATAGAAGATAGGTTTTCTTCCATGGAGAACTGAATGAAGAATTGATTTGAGAAAATAAGGGAAATTCGAGAGGTGATAAAGAGGCTCATTGAGATGCAATCCAAGACCCCGTCAGATGCTCAATTTGCAAAACCCAAAGGAAAAGAGAACGAACTTGAGAAACATGACGAGGAAGATTTGAGAAAATATGAGAAATTTGAGAGTGATAAAGAAACTCATTCAAATGCAATTCAAGACCCCGTCGGATGCTCAATTTGCAAGACCTAAAGTAAAAGAGATCGAGCGTGAAAAACATGAGGAAAACATCCACCATTATGAACCCCCTCCCATGGCTCTGATAAGCAGATTTCTGATGGAGGTGGTTGGGTCGAAACATGGAGAAAAGCTTATGCAAAAGTTATGGGGGAGCACGAAGAAGAAATAAGAGAAGCAGAGAGGGGATATGATTATGATCGAAGGAGAGAATTTTACCCTCAATATATTAGGGGGAAACAACAGAGGGAGAGGGAGAGGGAGAGGAAGAGGGAGTTTGGGTGGAGTTGTTAGAGCTAGGAAGTTGAAGATGTTGATCTTCGAGGGAGAAGATGCATATGGATGGAGTATCGGGTGGAGCGATAAATCGCTGTGAATGGGCTAGGTGGGAGGAAAACTCATGGCTGCAGAATTATGTTTGGAAGGGAAAGCTCCAGCCCGGCTTCAGTGGAGGGAGACTAGATACCTGATCCATTCTTGGGAGGAAGTCAAGGATTGTTTGTCGGAACAATTCCGAGCAATTCTATGCCTTTACTCAGAAGGGGAACTGTCATGGAATACTGAGAGAGATTTGAGGGATTGTTGGGACGTCTGAGGAAGATTTCTGAAACAGGATTGGTGGAAAGTTTCATGAAGAGCCTGAAGCCCAACATACGAGCATCACGCTGAATATTGAGACAACAAGGATTGAGGGAGATGATAGAACTAGCTCAGATGGTAGAGGACAAGAATTAGATGAAGAAGGCCAACAGGAGCAACACAAATGGAACATCGTACCAAACTGCTACAACCAAGACGATATCACAAGCTCAAATAGTGGAAATTCAAAGGGAGGTTGCACGAGACACAAATAATGGAGGGCAATAATCGGGAGCAGCATTCAAGCGTCTTACAGAGACATATTCGAGAGAAGTGAGCCAAGGGGTTATGTTTCCAGTGATGAGAAATTTACCCAAGGACACCATTGCAAGGATAAAAAATTATAAGTTCTCATATTGTATGACAAGGAGACAGAGAATGAAGAAATAGAGATAGTTGTGAGAGGGGAGGAAAGGTGTCCATTTGGAGAGGAGGGGGGGTGGAAGTTTTTGTTAGCGCCTAGCCCAAGGGAAAATTTATCTTTTATACGCCTAAGAGCAGTTTAGTCTTTTATTATTATTATTGTTGGGTATAAATATTTTTGTTATATCTAGAGTTAGGGGGGTGGATGATCTTGGATTGTGAGTCTTAGGTTTAGGGTTTGAGAGAGATTTCCTACCTCAAGAATTTAATGAATTTGGAGAAATCACCTACCTCTCAAATTGTAAGTGATTGTCTACTGTGTTTCTGTTAAGTTATTAAGATTATTGAAGAAAATAGTTGTGTTGCCCTAATTTTTGTGGAAAAACGTGCTTATTTTGATGTTGGGTCATATCAAAAGTATACCAATTTCAATATTTTTGGTCATGTCATGACGCACAGGATTATTGACAATACTTATAGCTACTTGACCGTCACAAAATAGTTGTATAGGCCAATTAGAGGTACATTAAAATTCCTTCAACAATTTCTAAATCCAAATCCCTTCATAAATTTCTAAGACAATTGTCTTGTATTATGTTCTGCACTACTTCTAGAGAAACACTTGCTTCTTACTGCTTCATGTGACCAGATTTTCCCATACATATGAGCAATGACATATGGTAAACCTTCTGTCAATGAATTCCCCAAATTAACCTGCATCAGTGTAAACAAGTATCTCTGTGTTTCTGATTCTCTAAAAAATTAATCTATAACCAGAAGTTTGCTTGACAAATGTAAGGATTTGTACATCTCTAAACGTTCTTCATTTGAGTTATTCATATGGTGACTCAAAATACTAATAGAACATGCAATATCTGACCTAGTATGTAATAGGTAGATGAATTTTCCCACCAATCTTTGATATCTTCCCTTATCCACATATATATTTTCTTCTCCTCTATTAAACTTCCTGTTGGGCTCTATTGGAGTATCATCAAGTTTGAATCCAATCATTCCTATCTACTTTAGCAAATCTAGTAAGTATTTTCTCGATGATATAACAATGCCCTTCTTGAACCTTGTTACTTCCATAACTAGGAAATATATCATGGTTCCTAGGTCTTTGATTTCAAACTCAGTGGCAAACACTAGTTTGATTTTAAGAATTTCCCTTTCATCATCACCAGTAAGAATCATATCATTCACATATGCTATCAGTGGAGCAATCTTACATCCCTAAGTGTGTTTTATGAATGGTGTATAGCTTGACCTTGAGAATATATGTTATATCTCATATTTTAGCAAACCATTTAAACAATGACCATGGTGATTTCTTAAGACCATAGAA